TTCAGCTTAGACTTATAGAGCTTTTTGACGTCTAAACGGCGCACACTAATGCACCATTTAAACTGAAGGAGTATGAGCAAGAGAAGAACAGATTAGTGGCAAAACAAACCAACCGTTCATCCCTGTGTGCTGGATAGAGAAAGACGATTAAACGTCAAAAAGGTCTATAGTCCGCCCACACCTGCAGAAACCATAAAAACGAATCAAAATATGGTTGTTTCGGAATTATTTTAGTAGATACCTTTTTCCAGCCAGAGCCACCACACTGAAACAAATCGATATGTACCGTTTATTGGATCCATCTTATAACATAGCAATGTCAGCAGATTTATTCATTCTATGTGATGATTGTTAGATTCCATCGGATTATCACTTAAAAACTATGACTGCGATATGGAATGATTTCTATCGTAATTTCACATACTTAGTACTTGATAAAACTTTGCTTCGAACGTGGTTTGCGATAGGTAAGATGTATATGAATAGTGTCTGATATATTTCATGGTGAAAAACTGGTGATATGTAACGGGTGGGAACAGACATCTAGAAACTAATGGAAAATCATATAAGTTTGCACTATGAGAAAATTCAGTAAAATATACCTGTTTTCATGATGAATATTGCTCACTGAATGATATATCTTATAAGATAATCATGCATATTTTATTGGAGTTGCTTTTAACGATGTTTGACGTTTGTTAATATGTCGCGTGTAAACAGACATGTAGAAACTATTGGACTGTCATTTAGCTTTGCAGTATAGGAAACCATGTATATCTCATGGAAATAGCTTCCTTTGATGGTTGAGGTTTAAAGATTGTAAATAGATCTATCTCAATCATTATATAGTCATATAAATTTGCCTTTTAAGAAATCCAACAGCAAATATTTGTTTTGGTATGGTTTTCTGGGATGAATATTGCTCCCAATAAAACATCTTACATGATTGTTCTTTATAAATTATTGAAACAATTTTCAACGATGTTATCGTACACTCATTAAAATTATTAGTCGAACTAAATATTTCTAACAACAATGATACTGTATTGAATAATCTTTGTTTGTTATTGTTCCATAAGATAAGGGGTTCCGGAAAAGAATGAATTAAGATTGAAAAAAAAATTATTCTACTGCAATATTTACTTTGCTAAGATTCTCACTGTAAGCCTTCTACACGGCTAATTCAGATTCTAGCACTAGTACTCGAACTTCATAAACCAGTTCCATGAACTCATATAATGTAGTCGTTGTTTTATTGCACACAGGAGCATTAAGAAAGATTTGAATACACGAAACCACCGAAACGGAGCATACATTTGTCAGTGTTATTTTTCTTCACTCTAGCAAAACGAGCATAACGTTACACTACATTCCATGTCGGGAGAGCTGTTCTTACTTCATGCTAATTAAACGAGCTCAATATTGAAGTCAGCATTGGCCCAGTGGAATCGAGCGCAGACACCGAAAGCATCACACCTCAACAGTTCTTGATCGAATCCCAAATCAGCTACAATAAAAAAAGACACAATTGTGAAGCTCCTGATGTTTATTTTTCGATTTATTTTTAGAAATCGATTAAACATATGTGTCAAAAGAAGATGTAAATTTCATGTGATTTTCACACAAACTTTACTTCGATTAATTTATGACACATATATTATATTGTGGTGAAAATTAATGCTTATGCTTATGGGTTTCAAATCCATTTCAGTTATTTATTATAATATAACCGATTTTCATTTATCATATGACGATCATATAAAAGTTACCAAATAATCAGCATTGTAAATGTATCAGATATTCATATAGAATTTACCTGACACATTTCCAATCATATCATTTTCAATGGATTATCTTATAGCGCAAATTTATTAGACTTCCACATAACAGGAATATGTCATATTGGTTCAGTGCACGGATGGGTAGCCGTAAACCACAGACAAACAGACATAACTCTTAGAAGAAAATTCTTCAAAAATATCGTCAAGCGTATTTTGCATGCGCACTAGCACCATCTATCATCCACATTCCCAAGCATTGATGTGCAACCAGAGCATCCCTCGCTCATGCCATTTTTTCACCAGTTGATTTTCCCTCGTTCTGTCAACGCGTCAGCTGTATTGAATAAAAACAAAACAGATGGAAGTCAGTGATGTCAGTTCTACGAAATTTTCTGTATATCTATAGAATTGATTGAATTCTGCAGAAATACGGATCCGGACAATTCACAGAAGCTAAGACTTTTTTCAGGGATTTGTTTTGCTTGTTTAGTATGCTTTTTCTTTTGCTGGAAACAAGTGTTTAAACGAGGTAATGCATTACTAAATAGTGCCCTTTCTACCACCGCTCATCACTTAAATGTGTAATATTAGAAACGGAATGACTAATGTGCAGCACTTTTGATGTAATATTCAACAACTTTTTTTCTGTATTCGTCAGATGTGGTATGTGTCTCCAGTGGAATGCCTTAACCACTTATCATTTTCAAGAGCTGACATCTACTACTAGACGTGAAAAAGAACTGGCATCACTGATAAGATCGAAATGTGGTGACTTGCTCAATGCTTCAGTGGCGCCACCATGACAAATGCAAGCACATTCCCAACTAAAACATTATTTGCGATGAATGTGATTGTGAGTGTTATGTCTGTTTGTCTGTGCCTAAACTGTTCACTTCGGATGCAAGGTTATCCCACGGGAAAATCCCTTGGCAATGTCCGGCTCTTTTTTCCAAAATCAGCACTATCCGTGCAAACTGCTGCCTTGTGGTCGTTTTGTTTTTCTTTTTTTTACCTATTATAAATACAAACATTAATTTAGGAAGAAAACCCAAAATTAAAATAAACTAACATCTTCACAATTCACTAGATCCACAAGAAAAAAAATGTCGGAAGAAATTCGACAAAAAATAGTCGCTCGAACAGAATAGGTTTGACGTTCGGACAGATTCGATCGAAAGATGTTCGAAAACAATAACAAAGAACGAAATACGGAATGGGATTTGCCGAGTCAAATTATTCCATTATTCCGAATCGATTGGAAAACAGAATCGGAGTGTACATTCATGTTTCCCTCGTTGATGTATTGAGCAGCATACAGTTGACATATTTGCAGGTGTTTCTGCTAACTTCCATATCATCATCCAACCATTCGTCAGTCGTATAATCAAATCCGTATCATCCTCCAACACTCCAAGTACAACACTCCGTCGAACATGCCTTTTGCCACTGCACTCAATACGAGGGCCCACGCATGCTATATGGCATTGCTGGAAGCATCCGGGATGCCTTGGCGGATGACCCGACCAGAACTGCGGTCCTCAAAGGTTTTCTCCTAGAAACCGGCCTCTTCGATTTAATCGGAATGAACATGACACTACTGCCAACAGTAGACCCCACCACGAAGGGTGCTGTCGGTGGTTTCTACGTCAAAACTGCGAAGTAGCATTAACCACGACCACTGCTACCCCCACAAGGACAACTAACCAAACATTCAAATATAGCACCACCAGACCAGAACACGTACAACCGACCAACGCAATCAAAATGACACCCGCATTGTGTCCTAAGTGTCATGCTGATGGTCATTTTTTGTCAGCAGAAAAACTATCAACGCTAGTGAACCAGCATAAGTGCACAAAGAACCCAATTTATTACTCTTTCTCGCGCAGGTGGTTCCTCTTACAGGTTTTCCTAATCCATTTCTCAATTTTATATCTAATTACCCACAATAATTAATTCAGTGAATCTGTTTTGATTAAAACTCCAACAATCTTAAAAATATGTGTGCAACAAGTACGTTACATACACGTTTTGAAAGTTGCCTCTGCTACTTATTATAATTGAATCCAATAATTAAAACAGCCAACGACGGGACTTTAAAGCTGTTGAGCAACACCAGAAAGACAAGAACGCAACCAATGTGTAACTGCAATCGAATCAAACATTTCAATCACCGCAAAGGTATGTAGGTACGGTCCGTGTATCGCAAATGAATTCGATTCATCAACCCATCTGTCAAAGAAATCCCATTCAGAATCCAACTTTATTTTGTTGCAAGCAACGGTTGTCCATATCGCTTCGATGACACGACGATTTCTTTCATATTTAGCTTCGCATCTCTTTCAGTGACTTGAACGCCTTGGAAAGAAACGAACCTTAATTATTGGATAGAGAGAGAAAATCTCAATCATCTCCGACCGTCGGTCGTCCAGAGTGACCACGATTACACCACACATGCAAAATTAAATCCACCGGTTAAGGTGGTTCGTTCGTGGTTTCGGTATGTTAGGAAGGTATATAGTCATACAGATTAGCCTTTGTCTCTCCTGGCCAGGCCCGCGTGTGTTACGTCAAGTTTGATTTGTTCACATTTCTCTATTAAACATCAGGTGTGCCCCATAGGTTCGAATGAATTTGTTTATGGAGAAAAAAAAATCCACACGGATTTGGGACGTGAATTTCCATAAAAATCTGTTACAAACAACATAAAACAGCGACAGTTTGCGCCACACCCACTACGGCGTCGGTAAATGTTTGTTACGCTGAAGAAGTCGTTTGGCTTATCGGTCAACACCATCCGGGAAAAATACCACCAGGTCGCCATGCGTATTTATTTAGATTTCTGGGATAAATACATACCGACCTTGGGCGATTTTTTTTTAATATCTTCAGCACCATTGTTGACCGAAGACGTCTGTGCTGCGGATCTCCGACCAACCAGGTTGTGGTTGTGACACAAACGATCGTCGCATTATCGCACACAACTTGACCGTTTGACATTTTGGATGCGCTCGCGCGCGAGACTTGCAAAATTATCGACCGCGAGGAAAGTGTGCGAAACTGGTTTCGATTTTACATCAATGAATGGAGGATGATGACTGGTGGAATGTGGTTTCGCATCCACTGGACCGTAAATTACGATCAGTTGCAGTTTGTTTCCCAAAATGATTCTTCATAACTTTGCCGTGAATTATGGCTGTCGATTTAATCTTTGTTAATTATAACTCTTTTTCAACTGCCCAATTATTCTACGCAACAATACTAAATGTTCTCAACCGAGAAAGAGTGCATCATACCTCATGTATCAAACGACTCCTCCTCACTTTCATCCCTGGACACTTCAGCCGCGACCGCGGTAGCCAGCACAGCCACAGACGCCGGTTCGGCACCCGCTGCGGCACTGTCCCGTGCCGCCTGCCACTCTACCGGATGCATCTTCTTCTGATGCGAGTGCATGTTGGCGTTCGAGTTGAATGTCTTCGGACAAAAACTGCACTTATACAGGGTGGCCCCCGTGTGCCGCGAGGCGATGTGTTCCCGCAGGGTGATCGCCTTGTTGAAACACTTACCGCACCATTCGCACTTCTGGTTCCGAGCTCCGTGGGCGTTCTTCTTGTGCGATCGGTACGCGACGCGATTCGGAGTCACCCGTCCGCAGATTTCGCATTTCACCTCACCGACCACGTGCAGCCGGATGTGCGCTCGCCAGTATTCGCGATTTTTCAACCTGTTGAGAAATTGGAATTGATTTAGTGTTGGAAATGGTGAGTCACGAACATACCATTTCAGACAATGCTGACATTGCATCTTTAGCTGGTCAGGATTTTCGTGTTGCAGCTTGTGTTTCTTGAACTCCGACTGCAGATGGAACGGTTTGGCGCAGATATCGCAGACAAAACGGGGATCCTGATGCTTGTTGCGGATGTGCATGTATAGAATGTGCCGACTTTTGTACCTGGGAAAGGGAAAAAATATATATGCATTAGAAATACTTACTTCATTGGGTAACGGAGTGTAATCCGACCGCGACTATTACTAAATAAAAATGACCATCAAGCGATGCTATGAGACAGGTACAATCGCGTCATCTGCCGCTCAAAGGTAAATGCTTCGAACGAATTTGATAGCAAAGATTACATCCTCAGAAGAAGGTTTGTGCACCCTCTTGATTTGAAGTCTTTGGTTCCAGTTAGTATTTTGCCGTTTCTTTTTAATTACTGTAGCTATTGACAGCGTTTTGATCCGGAAGGATTGTTTATTTAGTAGTGAAAATTTCATCAGGATACTTGTTCAAAAGTTATCGCAGATGGAACGTGACAGGCGTGAAAAAATTCCACACTCTCACGTGCAAAATCCAACGTGGTCAGGAGGAATGATTGCAAAGGCTCTCAAATTTCCAAAATCAACTGTAAATACCGTGCTTAAACGTTACCGGGAAACACTAACGTTGGATCGTGCAAAACAAAACAAACGTAGAAGTGGAACATATGACCGAAAACTACGAGCTAAGGTCATTAGGGCAGTCCAAAAGAATCATGGGCGGCGAAAAGGTTCAGTGCGGCACACAGTACAGTCAACAATCAATACGAAACTCTCGATTTTAAATTGGCTCACTACTTGACTAGCCTATTGGTTCCAAGCAAACGATTAACGTACCCCATTTTAGTCGAAATTCTACTACTACACAATGTTTTTTTTTTTATTCGCTTTGAAAGTTTGACAGATAAAATCAGGGGTTAGTAGATTTTCCTATGTTTCGAGGGGTGAATCGATTAGCTTGGGACCGAAGAGAGTACCAGAGCTGAGCCAAAAAGTTGAGGACGTTATTTCGGGACCTTCTAGTCTTAGAGTTACCTCTATGCTAATAGGCCTATAGGCTCTTTTCATGCACCATCAATGTAAAGTGCGCTAGCCGATTTTTAGAGGAAATGTCATCCAATCCATTTGTTTACATCATAATGACGATTTTCAAAACTCAAAATAACGTACATTTTATTGCACAACTTGCAAATTTCCATCGGGAGTGGTCTTATTTTTCGATTATCTACAGATCTGAGCTGATTTACAGCTGAAATAACCACACATTAAAAATCCGGAAGATCATAACTGCTGGGACGATTTTATAAATCCTAATTTTTCACATCAAAAATATTTGAAAGCACCAGCCGGATCACTGCAAACCCGATACAGAAAAAAATATTCTACGTGGATGATGATTTCAAGCACATGCGGTGGATAAATTAATCAGGAAAGTTGAAAATATTTCCCTCTTCCTATGCTTCACGGTGAAAATTTCCACCCTCATCACTCTTTTGAGGGTTCCCCTATTCACCGCCAGAGGTTGAAACAATCGCTTAATTTCTATTGGATGATGAGGGTGGAAATTTTCACCGTGAAGCATAGGAAGAGGAAAATATTTTCACCTTTCGTGTACAAATTTTACTCATCGTGCTAATGTCAAATACTTGTAAAAAATCTGAACGGTGATTTAACTTCTGATTACCCTTTCAAGTTTGTAAATTTAGGAAAAAATAATGAATCAAGTGGCTGCAGTGGTATGGGATTCGTTCCGAAAAATGAAAAGATGAGAAAACGAAGCATTTGAAAATAAAAGCACCTAATTTAATTCTTTTACAAGCTTTTGGTGGCCATCTCCCCGTGTATCCAAGATTTGTCCCAGGATATGTGGAAGAACAAAAATCCTTCATCAACATGATCATTATTTGAATACCATCAATGCTGATTTGCCGTTTAAATACTCCGAATGTGGGTGTTAACACACCGGATTCAAAACATTAGAGCGGCACATCATTATGAACCATCCTCCGGAATCGGAAGAGAAACAAGAGGACTATCTAGAAAATGTGATGTTGGATGATACATCGGACGTAGTCGATAGCAGACAACATAGAAATACCGATGGAACATCGACGATTTCCGAAGAGATAATTGGGATTGGAATGCGTCATGTGCAAAGCATTTAGTCTAGCTAAAGAGCGTTGGTCATCAGCCTCGCCATTGCTTTTATAGAAGCCACATAGGAAGTCGCCGAAAACACAATGTTTTAAATATATTTCGGTTGCACATCTTTTCTTTAAACTTTTAATTAAATTGTTTTTTTATCGTTTTAATTTTTTTTTATATTTTATCAATATCATGAAAAACAGTAAATTTTACAAGCACTGAGTAACATTTACTCAGATATGCTTTTTTACCGCAAATCAGAACTGAGTACCAGTTACTCTGATTTTGACAAATGCTAGCGTTACTCAAAAGTGAGTAACTATAGGTATACTCATTTTAGAGTAGTTCCACTGTTACCGAAAAAGAGTAGATTTTTACTCACTTTTGAGTAACATTGAAGGAGCGTGACGAGTTAATTAAAAACAAAGATTGAAATTTTAATAAATTATGTATATTTAATGAACGCCCTTCATTGTTTTTAAAATGGTTTTGATGCACCCTTTTATTGTCAACATGACTTAACCGTCAAAATGTGATGATAACCTAAGAGGAAGAGGAAACACTAGGGGGACTTTTATGAACCAATTTTCTGTCAAACGCGAACCAGCGCCTGACTGGTCGGGCGAACGTATAGAAACGCGAGAATTTTTAAAACAGGGAATCTATATTCTTGTATTTCAACAGTCGATTGTGTCGCTCATAATAAAATAGAAGAAGAACACGTCACAGACAAAAAAAGAAGCCAGTTATCTCCTCTTCCTCTTAGATGATTGTAATTGTTCAGTGTATAGGCTGTGCAAACCGCTAACTTGGCTTATCTAGGGTCTAACCCCCTAGTCTATACACCTATTGTCCTTCCCGTTGCATTCGTCAGCTCGTGCAATACTTTAGACACACATGGGTGGTCCTATCCGGGTCCTCCTCTGGGTAGGCTCGTGTCCGTCCAAGTTCTGGTACATTTACTTATCTCTATGCATGGTAATTAGTACTTTACAACTCACATTTTGATTATAATATCGATAATGCTGAAACTATATGAAGGTTAGTGATCATTAATAGTAATAATTGAAGGAAATGAGGTTCTCATGTGGCTTATAGGTAATTCTAAAATAGGTAAATCATGCAAGCACGCACCTTTTTACAATTATTATCCTACTTACCCGTTGGCTGTCTTCAACCGGCGTGATCCTTTCTGACTGCTTACTCTTTCCGATGCATGTCTTATTTAATTTTTCTTTTCTTGCTCATGCTTTCTCGCTATTTTTCCTTCTATTGAACATCTTGCCGAGTTCCCATTTGTTCTCAGGCAGGAATATTAGTACATGAGAGGAAGAAAGAAATAGAACGAGTTAAGCTGTCCCTCCGCGTTTGCCGCTTTTAACCCAAAAACCTAAAACTGATTCTAGGGAGTACAAAATAAAACATTCACCTGCACTGTATTGTCCATTCAGAGACATCATTAGACCCTAACCAAATATATTATATTAACAATATGATCCACTCTTTCGCTTAGCTGGCGAACCGAATTTTTAGCGATGAAAGCGCCTATGTGGCCAAAAAGGCTACCACTGTATTTATTTATCTTCCCAAGGGGTAAACCAATTGAAAATTTGCATAATATTTCAAATGTATGTATTTCCGCATATTATTTGATTTGACGACAACAGTGACACGTCAGACAAATTTTCATGTAATATACGAAATGTAATTAATGGAAATAATTTGAATTTTATTTTTGTAATAAGAGCTATATTCACGCCCCTCGATGTAATTGTATGATTCTTGCGGACCTTTTTCAACGCTAGATGGTGGGTGAAGCAATATGTTTCGGGTCGTCATTGCAATGCACTATGGGCAAAAATGGGTCCAAAATTACCCAAAATTCAATATCTCAACAGCACGCTGAATTCCGGCCATGAAAAACAACTTTTCTGAAGGGAAATCGTTCGGGGAATCGATTCCACGTGGTCCTATAGACCGGAGAGCCTTGTAGGTATGTGTTTTGGACCATTTTACCCCATTTTCCCCTACTTTTGGAGGAAATGTTTTTTTCACAGCTCTATTTTTCGTAAAACATAAGCACTTTATGCATGGTTTTAGAATACTATGTCTTTAAACAACAGTTCATGAGATATTAGGGGAATACGGGGTACACTTTATAGGGGAGTAAGGGGTAAAAGTGAACCCTTGCTAAATTTATTTTAATTCATAAAAATGTTGAACGATGCGATTGTTTGAATGAACCCAAAGGTTGCATGCTATAATAAGATTTTTTTTGAAATTTTAAGGTTAATTGGGGTTAAATAAATTTTATTTTACTGCTATCTATTTTAAAAGAGTTTTCACTTTTTTTGTCTGTATACAGCAAAACGATATAGTGGTTCTCAGAATTTTGTAAAAATTGTTAGTTTTGTTCCTAGTCGCAACATATTAGACCCTTATTTTTTATTTTGTCATAAGGGTGACTATTTATATATTAGGGCGGTCAAAAAAAATTTTTTTTTTTATTTTTTTCAAAAATTTATAACTTTTGAACTGTTGGCCGATGACGGAACTCAAAATACCAAATAAAAGTATTTTTAAGAAAAAATATTAAGATATTTAAAAAAAAGGATTTTGTATTAAAAACAATTGATTGTTTTTTTCACTTTTACCCCTTACTCCCCTATAAAGTGTACCCCGTATTCCCCTAATATCTCATGAACTGTTGTTTAAAGACATAGTATTCTTAAACCATGTATAAATTGCTTATGTTTAACGAAAAATAGAGCTGTGAAAAAACATTTCCTCCTAAAAGTAGGGGAAAATGGGGTTAAATTGTTCAAAACACATACCTACAAGGCTATCCGGTCTATGGGACTACGTGCAATCGATTCCCCGGACGATTTCCCTTCGGAAAAATTGTTTTTCATGGCCGGAATTCAGCGTGCTGTTGAGATATTGAATTTTGGGTAATTTTGGACCCATTTTTGCCCATAGTGCAATGTTTGG